GCCAAACCAATCACATCGCGCGAGAATATACTCATCCAATCAAATGCTCTAAAGGCACTGCCAGACCAATCACATTGCGCGAGAAAAAATAAGCCAATCACTGATGCCAGATAAAACATCATGGCTGAGGCAAGGCACGCATACGGCAACGAGCCTTTTCACAGTCATACGAAAACTGCTCTATAAAGCACGCGAGGATTGGCAAAACACGAGAGAAGTGTTAGAAGAAGCACAACGCGTAGCGAATTCGAAGTGCTTCTCAACATTTCTCGAGTGTTCTTCTAAACCCCAAATGCTTTATGACTCCTCACAGCACAGCAAGCAAAATTGTTATTTACTATTATAAAATACAAACTTAGAGTAACCGTTATTTTGGATATGAATGACAAAATAGTACTATTATTGCACAACAGGAAAAATGTTGCACCATTTTAATGTTATAGAGTTCTAAAAACCGGATTATTCAGTGATGATCTCATATCGCAGTATTAAATACATTCTTCAGTATATGAATATATACACCTTATTGTCCATGTCGCTGGTTCTTTCGTTTTTCATTCCCTTCCCACGTGTTCTACCGTCACTTGTCTCAGATACGTCTCAACACACCAAACATTCAAATCCTATTTATCTGTTCCCATATTGCGTTAAGTATTGCCTTGGTGTATCATGGGCAGACACCCCAAGGATGGGCAACGTTCTAACATTCTCTTTGGTTACTGAGACGATTGAGTTCGTAAATCATCTTTCCCGAGACAATAAACTGTCTGCAAAAGAAAGTTCTTACATTGATGACATTAAAGTCTACCTATTCCCTTTAACTTTCTCAGGGCATTTTGTCCGCCATCTTTCTCCATCTTCAAGCTATGTACGTCATCTCTTTTACAATCCGCGATTGCGTAAAACCAAGTTTACAATGACTAGTTTACATTTCCAGGAACCAAACAGCTCTCTTCAAGGTGGTGATGTAACACTGTCTCGATATTGCAGGTGCGCGTTTCGCAATACGAAGACACCTCTGTATGAACAGGAATCCTTGGTAGAAAATATAGCAAGTACAGATGATGGAAAGAGCCAGCATGGTTGGTCCAGATAATACAACCATTAAAGTGGAAATAAATAGGATGCAGGTCTTTACCAATAAGGAGTTTCTTTTAAAAACTTCAGAGTAAAAAGAATTTCTGTCTATGATAATTTTCAAGTTTGTCCAAGTAGTGCCAATATTCTACTGTCTTTAATCTTTGAGAAATTAGTAGCCAAATCGCTACCATGAAAAATGCTCTTGCTTTAGTGTTGTCTTGTTATTCTTTTTCTTGCTTTCCGATACATTATTTTTCTTTTCTCTTAGTTTGGGAAGAATCTCCTGTAGTCTTTTTATCTTTTTTATGCCATGAACCAATATATAATTGCTTGTGCCATCTCCGAAATTTTTGCTTCAAGCCGCCTTCTCGCTAGAATCAATTYTTYTCGCTTTATCTACTCCTCAATGACGACCATCTCTCGCGTGGTCGAGGAATGTCTGTATCTGTTACTCCGACGTCCCTAATCTGTGGGTCGGGTAATAAAGCTGGATTTGTTATGTTAACATTGATAACATTGGTGTTTCTAGTCTCGTGTATTATTCTCGTCATTCTGCTCTCCATTTCATTTGTCGTTTGCTCAATTTTTCTTTCTATTTCTCTCAGTTGTTCTTCTAGTCTCTCCTTTAGTGRTTTCTCAGAGAAGAACGTCCAGATTTGGTTTGGAATGGAAACCAAGAAGGAAACTAGTTGATGTGCAGTGGTGATGGTAGAGATGATGAGTCTGTAGGTGGCAACAATCTTGTCAGCCATGATCCGATACAGCTGATGAAYATACATGACAATGGATACCACTTGTCTGTAGGTCTGGACCACCTTGTCTATCACTTGTCTGGGGATGTTCAGCACAAATTGGATGGTACTGATGATGGTTGTTATGATAGCTGTRATATCAGCTCTAATGGATTGGTATAGTTGATGAACCTGTCTGTATGCCAGCACTAATCTGTTAACCATGTGTCTGGGGAAGTCCACGACAAGATGAATTGCGCTGATGATAGCTGATGTCATTCTGGTAAAATAAGTTGCAATGGATTGCAATAGCAGATGAACTTGAATAACAATGGACTCTACTTGTCTGTATGTGAACAAGATCTTGTCTGTCATTTGCCTTGAGCAGCATACAACGCATTGAATCGAAGTGGTTACAGTTGATAAGAGTGTAGTGATCTTAGCAAACATGGGTTGATTGATTGGAGATTTGATCGTATTCGATGAGTTATGGCTGAAGCCATGATGACCAAAGCTAGTCTTTAGCCCAGCCCGTCACTTGTTGTCTTCAGTAATTCACTGAAACCAATTAGAATAGAAATTATGGGAATGAATGGGATAGAAAAAATATGRATTTTTTTTAAATGTAAAAGTAAAAAAAAATAGTTGCGCAATCTTTTTTATGTACATTCTACCCAAACTCCTGTGCAACACAGATTTCTAACCTGAAACGTTTGTCAGTTTTTCTTTTCTTTTTGCTTTCGAAGTTAAAAACCATATTTTGCTTTTTCTGTTTTGGATTAAAATGCATGTTTTGTTTATGACATCAAATTTTAGCGATTTCGAAAAGATGAAAGCGAAAAAAGGTGTCGCAAAAATATAATGATGATTCTTAAGTATTAAGATTATAAACAGTATATATAAGCAAGGATCAAGGAGCAATGAAATGAACTGTAAATGAGAACCAATATTAGCATTATTCATTATATATACTAACGCGAACTTGTTACTTTTGTTGCAAATGTTGCATAATATAACAAAATATCTTTTCGAAGCGGCATCTCTGTCKATTTGAAACAAATTATGAATGATTGACTCAATGAAAGCGCAAAATTAAAGGGACTAAAAATATGAGTTTTTTCGCAAAATTAACGTGTCGCGAGAATTACATGTGATAAGGCAAAATGTTTWAAAAAATGTGAAATCTAAAAGCATGCGATTCCAAGGTTTGGCCAGCCACGCGCGCGCGTGCATTCGTATAACTTACGGCACTTGAGGATTTACTCCTGGAAATTATTACAGAAAACCAAACGAAGACGGACGAGACAACTTTGACGTTACTTAAGTGTAAAATCGTTACCAATCCACTTACCTCACATATTGTTTTATTTCAGATGAGCCGCGAGTTAAAACTTAACTTTGAATTTCAACTTGACATAAAAAACTATCGACGTAACAAACGCTAATTATTAATTAGAATCAATTAGTTGACTGTAACACACTGCCAAAAAACATTATTGGGCTCCCTATGTTCATGCCTTTGTCAACTAATTCAGTCAATTACCTAGTTTGACGTCATTTATTCTGACCAATCAAATTCAAGAATCTCGTTTGCCGTTAATTGAACCTAATTGATAATTAAAGTGTATTACGTCACAAGTGCATTTATTGCAGGTTAGAATTTGTAKGTTGATTGTCAAGTTTTAACTCGCGGTTCATTTGTAATAAGAAATATGTGAGGTAAGTTTAAATAATATAATAATTTGAATCTCCTAAGAATTGTCGTTTCCGTTTTTCGTTTCTTCCTCTTTCATCATTTCTTGTTCGTTGTAAAAGTATTCCTCAACCGTCTAAAAATTCCAAATGCGCGCGCATTATTTACACAACGAAAGTTTTAGCTTATTTCCCGCTTTTAAAACTTATAGTAACTATCTTTTCTGAACTAAAAAAATTCTTCTTCTCCTTCTTTATCTCTCAGAGGCTAAAAGTATTAAGTTTTAAATCCAAATGACTAAGGACGTATGAATATTTTTTCAAGAAATTATTCATATGTTTCAGTAATTATTCATGGAATATAAAAGTCGCAGTTTTTTGTTCGAAAATAGTGACGCCAAAATGTGCCTAAACCTCAGTGAGTGATCTGCAATCTAGTTAAAGAACATCGAACTAAAATAACTTTTTAAAGAATTGTTGCACCAGCTGAAACATCATCGCCAGCTTTTTTATTCCATACCTCGTGAAAAGAAAACACAATAAAGTTTCTTTTTAACTGGGGCTAGAATTTAAATTGTTTGTGTAGACTGTCTGTATGCCACTAAAAAGGTTTTACACTCAGTTAACATTATAAAAAAATACACATATTTTCTATCCCATTAATTTACCATAACTTCTATATCAATTGGTTTCAGTGAATTACTGAAGACAACAAGTGACGGGCTGGGTTAAAGACTAGCTTCGGTCATCATGGCTTCAGCCATATCTCATCGAATGCGATCAAATCTCCAATCAGTC